TAATGTGAAATTTGACATTGTTTTTGCTTCAGTAAAGCTTCGATATCCGGTTTAATCTGCGTTGTTGCAGTTCGTAAAGTTTCATCCAAATGTCTGTCTGTTAGCTGTGTTCTTGTTTTTGATTTTAGGATTTTCGTTTTACTAAAAAGCTGTTCGCATATGTAGGTACTGCCAAAGACAGAAGACATGAAAAGTCCATGTTTACGAATTCCTGGATACTTGTCTTCTGTCACGTACTTCGAATAAAAAGCAATTAATGTAGGATTTTCAAGAAATTTGCATTTTACTGCAGAGTCACACTGTAAATCTATAAATTCTAATTGAAGTTGAGTTGGAACATATATTACATAAGATAAATTACATAAGATAAAGTGAAATTTTTGAAAAATTCGTCATTTTCAGAAAATTTTATCTCGAATGATATCAGGCATGTCAATAAAATGTTTTAAATATCAAGAATAAGAGAAAAAAAGTTTTTATACGACAAAAGGTTGACAAAGCAACTTTTCTTGAAATCAAAATTTCTTCAATCTTCAAATTTAAATGCGGGGCCAATAAAATGCCTTCAGCGGACATTGGATTGAAGACCACTATTCTCAGGAAAACAGGATATCGTTTACGCATTGCTTAAGGAAAAAAGCACGGAAACGCCCATGCAACTAGCCCGCTTGTTTGGAATCGAACCCAGGTCAAAACTACCAGTGTTCAGCGATTTTACCACTCAGCTGCTAGCGGGTCTGTCTGAAAACGGATGGTTGTCTTAGAGTGTGTTCACTGTGTTTGTTCTATAATATAATTTTAAAACCGAAAAGTTTTCATATACATTCTTAACAAAACAGAGTTAAACTTTTAGAAGCTAAGACGTGAATGTCGTTGATAACTGAAATTACTATCTCATGTTATCTGCAAAATTCGAAAACATCATTCTTTATACATTTTACCTTATAAAAATTCCGTATAAAATTTTAAGGATCACTTTCATTTATTTATTTAGTATATGCGTCAATAATTTTTCTCTTTCCATGCTAATAAATTCTGCTTAAATAACGTATACAACTTTAGAAAATGTGTACTATATAGCATAAAAATAAGGAAAAAATGGTTAAAATTTGTTCCTCAGCTCCTTAACTTTTGCAAAAAGGGCTATTAAAAAATTATTCTTTTAACTCATGAATCCAGTTTGTATTGTCTTATTGATAGATAGGCTAACTCCGTAAAAATCATGGTAATAAAAGGAAAAAATATTGGAAAACGAGTGTAAAACAAAAGTTATGCACGTTAATACTAATATTTCCAATTTTATTTCTCTGTAAGTTTCGTTTTTAAGCAGCAGCTTTTTTTTTTTTTCCGTAGTTCCAAAATGATTACGTGTCGGTTTGTGCGCCGCCGCGTTTTGTATTTGAAATTCATTCTTATGGTTATAATATTGCTAAGAACTAAAAATTAGAAATGCTTATGATGCTGGTATTGTTATGATAATCATAACAATACCAGATTTGTAAATATGAACATAAACAAATTTAATAGGGAAAGAAGGTAGGTTTTTCATTAGCAATCAGAATCTTATCAAATAAAATGAGTTCACCAGTCAGAACAGAACATTAAATAAAAAGCATCAGTAATTAAAGTAAAGAAACTGTAAACAAAAAAAATTAATTTGCCAAATCAAAAGAATTAGTTCAACAGTATTAATAATCCAAATATAAAGAAACACCTGACAATGGATATGAATATGTTAACTGAAAAATAAAAACCTAAGTCAACTGTGAATTAAATAAAAACCGAAATGCAGATTTAAACAATGGAAAATTAGCAATATGGTGTAAGATTTTGTCAAAACTAATATGCGTAATACCAAGAATCGAATTAGTATAATCCGTAACCTACGGAACCCACGGACACTGACTATGTGGGGGAATGACATCAGAGGTCATGAGAGCTTTCGAACTTATGACGTCACAAAAATTACATGATCTCTGACGTCACTTACTTTTTTCTGCGACTTTTCAATTTTAATCTTGCTATTTCAGCCCCAAAATTTCTGAAAAACTAACTTTATCTAACTTATTTGTTGCGATTCAAACATAAGAGATCTTTTCATTCTCGGGAGCATTTGCTTCTACAGTAGAAGCCTTCGAGAGAATAGAAAGAGCTCTTCTGTGTAATTATTGCCTGTAGGCAGCGAAAAACTATTTTTTCATTGAAACGCAATACTCTTATTTCACGCGGTTAATGCAACATTATTCACGCTAAGGATAATAATAACACAGTTAACATATTATTCGATCTCCCATATTTATCTGAGCTGTAATTTTAAATAGATCATTTTTAAGTGTCTTCGTAGTCTATAAAGGATAAATATATTCTCAAACAAACGTGTACAAGTACATTATTTAAATAGTTTTATAACTGAAAAGTTAAGTAAATACTAGTCAGCCAAGTGTTAGGTTTAGGAAGGTTTATACGGCTAATTATCTTTTGGAAAACGGGTGTAGACTGGTGATTTTAGTTTAAGAAAATAATCATATAAGAATTGCACTATAAAAACTGATCGATTACATTATAAAAATATAATAGTTGCATTATAAAATGGAATTATATCCTAAAAACTGAGTTTCAGGTTGGTACAGTTTTTATAATGTACGCGTTTTAGTGTAAATATACCAAGTAAATTTTATATAGACCTCGCAGAAAATTCTAGTTAAACTACTATAGAAACTAGTCAGATATTACTAATTAAAAATTTCATCTGTTAATTGTAGACTGTATACTGATCATGTAAGAGATAGTTGAGGATGCAATTAGAAAATCCAAATGTAACTTCTAAACGAAATTTAAAGAATGCGTTTAAAATTCCCATTTATAGATGTATTATGTTTCAGTATTTTTACCGTACAAAAAGAAATTTTGTACAGTTTTTTAAGGAATACGCAAGCATTTGCGAGCAGCTAAATTTTAATTTTGTGTAAAAATTGGTAATTTATACATTTACTTTCTTCTACGAAATAAAATATTGTAATCGCGAAAAATTTCGGTAATCATATTCAACGAAAATATCCATTTTGACCGAATCCGCTCTCGAGTCCATTTAAACGATATTTTTGCTTGACATCTTTATGTACGGACGGAAAAGGCCTCGTTTCCCCAAAATGGATTGAAAAAGGAATTTAAAATACAATTCAGAAGAGATGATTTTATTCGTGACGAGTACGTACGTACGTACGCACGAATGTATGTATCTCGTAAAACTCAAAAACGAGTAGACTCAGAATGTTGAAATTTTGTATATGCGACTGCTATAACACGTAGTTGTGCACCTCACGTTTTGGTTGCAAACGGCCGCACCAAAAGTACATAAATATGTACATATATATAGAGAGAAATACATGCTCTGTTCTTATATGTATGTCTTATATATGCTCTGTTCTCTGTATTCTTATATATTGATAAATTGTGCATTTTTTGCTTTAAAGAATGATTCAACTATGTTGTTCCTATGTTCCTGTTGAGGTTTTTTTATGCCTTTAATTAATCTCCGTGCAGTAGTTGTAGAATTATCAGCAATTTAAAAGTTGTTTAAGTGCCACTAAGCCTAACGGAGACGCCATTTGTTTACATTTGAAACCTCTTAGTACAGTAGTGAATTAAGTTAGTTTTTGCATCTTCAGGGTCTTTTTGCCGAGTGGGACCAAAAGCAAACTTTCAGTTTTGTGCACCAAAAAATATGCCTTCTTGCCCACTGGCCGGATCGCTTGTTTTTGCGTAGAAACTCTAATTTTAATTGTAAAAATTGTTTTAACTATATTTTCATGTTTTATGTTTTCTGTATTTTACAATTTTTAATGAAAATGTTTTGAGATTTTATGCATTTTTGCGAAGTGAGAACTGAATTAATTGAATGAGAAATACATCTCTAATAAAGTTCGAGGAAATAAGTGATATGTGAAATGCAAGAAAATATATATACTATATAATTTAACAGACCGTACAACGGTGTCATGTGGTGTCCGCATCAGATTTTGTTACTTAGAGATGAAGTTCCTTGAGATCAAATTTTTCGTAATGTGAAAGCCAATTTTATTTGATTTATTTTTGTAGATAATTATGCGTAGTAATTTTTAGACATCTTTTATGTCCCTTTTTCTACGGAGCTACGAACATGTTATTCACTTCCGTTTCACAATCAAATTGAAACCCAGAGTACCATCTCAAAGCACTTTCCTGCGGAAATCTTCGTAAAATATCGTTGATTTCTAACCTTGAATAATACTTTTTTCAGCCTGTCTCGGTGGAATGAATCCATGGGAATGAAAACATTACACTGCGGGAAAATGAATTTATGTGCTTGGTGAATTTTAACGGCTCATTTTTCAACGAGATCGGAAAAGCCTTGAAAAAAAATCATCATCTTAAAAAAAAAAAAAAAAAAAAAAAAAAGCAATAAGTATCTCTTCGTGTAAATGACTATCTTGGCATTGGGAATGATATGAGAATATATGTTTATTAACCGACATTTGAGAAATAGGCAATATGGGGCAGGTGGGAAGAATTAGACCATATTGATGGTTATGATGTTACCGATGATTTGATGTCCATCAATCAATAAAAGATGCTTATTGGTCGGAAGCAAAATCTAGGTAACTAGTTGCACCTACTTAGTGCTTGGAATGTTTATAACTCCTTTAACATAAAATAACCAATGTAATCATATGTAAAAAGTCAAGTACAACAGTTGGTAGTTATCTCTCAGAATTTTACCCTTGCTATTGTTTTATAGGGAAAAAAAGGAGAGGAAAAACTACGTACTTTTCTATTTTGGTAACTCCTCTTCGTATATGCGCAGTTTTTTAAAAGGTAGTAGTGTAAAAAGATATATTAGCATATAAGAGTTCATAATAATATTACATAGATGTACACGCGTTATTGTAAATGTTCAGCTAATGAATTTTCAATTGTAACTTTATCAAAGTGAAATGATCAACAATGACATTTTTTTACAGCTCTACTTCTTCATCAAGGGTCGGTGGTATTTTGTGAATATTATCACGCCTGAGCCAACCAAAAAAATAAAAGCATAGAAGCCGGCCTAAATGAGGTAAGTCAGCAAAATACTTTTCCTTTATGTTTTGAAACGCAGATTAATGCTGTAATTAGTTTATTAAGTTGTGAAGTTTCCTTTAATTTAAATTACCAGTTATTTTATGTTTTGAATCTGTACTATTACTTCTCTCTTTCCGTTTTCCCGCCAGAACGCAAATTTGTTCGTGTGTATTTAAGTAAGGGTCCGAAATTAGAATTTTCTCCACGATAACCAATATTTTCCAACTCAGTGTACTTACCTGATAATCACATTTGCAGCAGTCAAAATTTACTTTAAACGGCTGTACTGAATCATGTATCATTTTTAAATGACACTGAATGTTTGGGTGACCACCCCATGTGACTTTGTCATTGTTTGAGCTGATATGAAAAATTTTGCTAATATCAGCATTGTGTACATATGTATTTATTTCCTATTTATTCTGAATCTCACCGTGTTCTTACCTACTTACTTGTTTATATTTGTGTTTTAAAATTGCAATTTATTTCTCCGTGAAGGACTGGAGAAATTTTCAATTTTGTGGACGCCTTATCTCGTGACCAACGAACTGTATTTATGATTAAGTGAGACCATATTTTGGTGGACTTTGCTTTTGATATCCTCTGCTTTGGATATGCCTTGACTTATAGTTCGACCACCTCATCCGCGACCGTGAGCGCAAACACGCATGCGCCGTTCGGACCGAATTATTCTCAAAATAGGGTGGAAGCATGGGGACTTTCTTTGCCTCCAGCATATAAATTCTCTCTTTCCGAAGAAGAGAAGACTTTCAAGTTACCTTTCACGTCGCATCAAGTAATAACGCCCCTTCTGGACGAGTCTATGCGTTTTGGCAGAATGCCAGCCAGGGTTACGTTTGAGACGATCGAATTATATCAGATGTCTTTGCTACTCACGTGACAACTGGTCACACTCTGCTCTGCACCTTCAATTCTGTCGTTTAGACCCATAGTCATGTATCCCTCTACCTGAGGCGTAAGTCTAGGCATCAAATTGATGACAGCCGGAACACGTTGTGAGAAATTGCAGAACAATCGCGGCTTACAGCGATATTTGGAACTTGGATATTAAGCCAGAGGCCGTGTTATTAGGTTTTCTATTTTAAGATAAATTTTTTTATCTTAAAGTAACCCTTTAAGATAAATTTTTTTATCTTAAAGTAAGTCTACGATAACTTTTTTTATCTTAAAGTAACCTTTTAAGATAATTTTTTTATCTTAAAGTGAGTCTTTACGATAATTTTTTTTATCTTAAAGTAAGTCTTTACGATAATTTTTTTATCTTAAAGCAAGTCTTTAAGATAAATTTTTTATCTGAAAGTAAGTCTTTAAAAGTAAGTGCGAAGAATGTGATTACTCTGTGTACCATCATAAATAAAGGTAACAGACAAAATGCTTAAAAAACGCCCCTTTGGATGTAAATTTAAAATCTGAAACCTTTCGTATTTTTATTTTATTTTATTTTATTTATTTATTTATTTTATTTTTTTTTCGTACAGTCTTGCAACTTCTCGCTTTTAAATCGTTGACTTTGTTAATGAAAAATTCGTTAAAGTTTTACAAAATATGAAATACACAATAAAACAAATTCCAGATTGGACTTCCACATGCCCATATTCGAGTCGAAGGCTCGAATTAATTATTCAGAATTTGATATCAATAGGTACCGTTGTTTTTTCACAATGCGAGAAACATACATGCATTCATGCAGATTGTTCAATATATAATTTCTTTAAATACAATGCAGGGCTCTGATATTTGGTGGCAACAATTTGAAAAGTGAAACGCCGCTTTATAATGGACGGCATAAAATGGCGGAACAAAATTAATAGCCCTTCTGGGCAAATTGCTCCTTTGGGCTAAGTAACTCGATGTTGTACGTTAATTACGTTAGAATTAAAAGAAAGCCCCTGAACAGCGAAAGCTCTTATTCCATCAACATAAATTACTAATTAATGTCGCTGTTCATATTTTCTAAGAATGACAGCAATTAAGCCCGTGCGGTAGAAGCTTTATTGGTGTTGTCGATCGTCTAATGCAGGTGTTTAGTTTTAGTAATATATTTTTGAAGCTGGGAGTTTACCTGTGGTGAATCTGAGTGAAGGAGCAGCTGAAAAGGCAAATGGTCACTTTCTCCGCTTGATTTGAGATTTGTAAGAGTAAGTTTATTTTGAAGAAAATAAAGGAAAGTAGCCGTGACCAGAAATGAATCGATGCAAGGAAAGGCTTTGACATCGGTTTCTGCTATTCACTCGAGGGAAGAAATTCAAATATTCTGTGTCCTTGAGGAATTTCATTCCATTCATCCTGTCAGGATTGTTTCCGTAACCTTTCTACTTCCTGTTTTAGAAATTACTATGAGCAAAGAATCTCAAATGGCTTTGCGTTTACATTGAGAACAATTTCATCTTCATTTTCATTGCCTTTATGTCTTAGCCTGAGCCTTAATCCTGCCCGAAGTGGATTTTGATGTGTTCATTTGAGTGAGGCATATCGAATTTTTCTTTATGTGTTGTTAAAACATGAAATGTTGAGCGATAGTCGCAATGGATATTTAATAGCTTGAGATAAATAGTGTATATCTTTCGTATTTTTTTAACACAAAGCCGCTTTTAAAAAAATGCATTTCTTTTTTGAGCTCAGTTGAGCTTTCTGTTTCATAATTTGCGTCGATTTCTCACGAATTATGTAGAAAATGCCGACATTGTTTTCTAACTTTAACCCATCAGCAAAAAGAGTAGGAAATTTGTACCTAACTGAAATTAAATTAATGAAAGATGATTATAGTCGTTTGTTCAATAAAGGTAATTAAAGCCGCACATTGTGATTATAATCGCCTGTTAAAAAAAATCTGATATGGGCACCACATGGCTTTCTTGTACGGGCTATTTAAATATTCTTTTTAGTACAACACAATAAACCGATATTAAATACTGTTTGATGTTTATTATTAGATAAACTAGATATACAAACTGTTATTAAATATGTAATTAGTTTTCATTATTTGTCAAAAAAAGGGTTTTTTTTTTTTTTTTTTTTTTTTTTTTTTTTTTTTCGGTCCAAAGGAGCAATTTGCCCTAAAGAACTATTAATTTCGTTTTGGCATTTTGCGTCGAAAACTTTGAAAGGCTGTATCACTTTTCAAATCGTTGCCACCATAATTATCGCCCTGTCTTATACTTAAAGAAATTAAATAATGAAGAATCTGCATAAATGTATGTATGTTTCTCGCATTGTGATAAAACAACGGTACCTAGAACCATCAAAATTTGAATAACGTAATCTTCCGTAAAATATGGGCATGTGGAAGCTTTAATTTGAATTTGAAATTTGTTTTATTATCGATTTCAGATTTTGTGACACTTCAACGAATTTTTGATTTAAAAAAAAAGTACGAAAAAAGAACATTTTTATCTCCAGCGCGCGAGACTCTGTATCGGAAATTCTAAAGATATGCTCATTTTAAAATTAATTTGCGATATTGCTGTTCAACTGAATTTTATAGTTTGAGTACGTAGAACAAGGTAACACATAAAACGTTAAAAAACTGCCCCTTTGGACGTAATTTAAAATATGAAACCTTTCAGTTTCTTTTTTCTGTATTAATTTATTTATTTTCAAATTTGACATTCTCAAAACATGAATATTTTCGTTATTTAAAACACTTCTCTAATTGGAAGAATTCTTCTACCAATGACTGCGAAAATAAAGGTTGAGTAAGGACTTTCAAGCCGGGAAAGGAAGTGGATATATATATGTCATAATAAAAGCAAAGGAAAAGACGGAACACTGTAGATGCGTAATTAGACGCATATTGAAGAAGATTTTGATTGCGTAGTATGCTAGTAATGCTAACTTGGTAATATCTAAAGAACTTGGCAGTCGAGGCAGTTTTAATTCCATTTTTATTTTCCAGTTGACGTTTGTGGCCACAATCACTTGGCACTCTAGTCGTGCCTTTCCACAGAAGATTTACATTTTTGATATTGTTGAGATAGAAAGCAAGCCAGCGAAATTACATCTTAGCACAGTAGAGAGCAAAAGCTGAAGTGCGTAGTTATGAAAGATGGAGGCAGAGAAAAGTTTTGGTTTACAATGGCAGTTTCAGTTCCCAATTATTATGTCATCAGAGCTACGCGGGCCATAGAGTGATCTAGAAATGATGCAATGCAGAAGTTATTGCGATTTTAGAATAGAGAGGAAGAATTAATGTTTATAGTTATATTATAATTCTGATTCATATAATTTTATCTTTCCTATTATTTCATATTTTTGCAGCAGTTTGCGCAAAAAAGTTTTAAGACCAAATAGGTCTTACAACACATTACTTATTAGCTTTTCAATTTCTATTTCAATTATATATCTATATATATATATGTGTGTGTACTTGTGGGCATATTGCCCTTTGGACTTAAAAAAAAAAAAAAAAAAGATAAGTAAAGTAAGATAAAAAATATGTAAATCAGCTTTATAATTTAATTTATTAATAGCTTCTTATTTCCACATTTTTAATTTGGGTACTTCTTTTCTCTATTCTCAAATTAACAACATTTCGTGCGCCAATTCTAGATTAATCTATGCCACAAAACTCGCGTAACGCTGATGTCGTAATAAATTTTGAAACTAAATTCTGAGAACTGAAATCTTTCTAACTCAAACCAAATATATAATAATTCTCGCGATCTATTACAGTTTTAATTGATAAAAGATGTTTATATTTATGGACAAGTTACATAACAGATACAAAATAATTTTAAGAAAAAACTTATAATGTTTTACACTTTTAGATTTTCATAACATCTTTAAAATTTTTAATTATAAACTCTTCTTTGAGGTATCACATTGTAATCTGAAGCTCACAGATTGAAATCTTTTTTCTCATGTATTTTTGCTGGTATATTTTGAATTGAATATAAAATTTTTATTACATAAGCTTTGCAATATATGTGATTTCATGTAATGATGTTGAACAAGAAAATTCTCACCCCCACCCCC